ATGTTTAACAATGAATGCAAAAATACATAATGATGGGCATCATCAATACCATAGTTCGATATTTCTTCTTTTTTTTTATTCTTTTTATAACATTTTTTTCAAGTCGAACGATGGCCCGATTGATCAAGATTATGTTTACAAATGAATAATCATATTCTGTTCTACTCAGAAATTAGATGGATTGTGTTTGTGCCCATTTGTTCAGGTCAAGTTTTCAACTTTTGCATATTGAACAACATAAGCAAGCATTAATGCATGGTATCTAAAGAAAAAACGAGCAAGAAGATAAGTTTACGCATTTCTTGAATTTACCTCATCTGTTTCTGCTAGACGCAAACAGCGCAAAATTTGTTCTGCACATGTGAAACTAATCGATCAAATACATAGTTATATATGCAAATAATATCAACATAGCAAAGTTTTGATAACGTTATTTGATTAAATGAGTCAATCTATCTATACACATATGAAAACCAATACCTACTTTAAACTGTGCAAGCATTCTATTCCATTCTTCCAACTTGTGTGTTTTTTAGCAATGTCCTGATTTCGTGATACTTTTGTTCTAGTAGCTTGACTTTTTTTTGAAGTATTTTCAAAAATAAATACCAACTCTGACCTACACTCTTTAGCAAGAATATAGATGTTCATTCTATAAAAGCAAGATGATGACTAAAAAGAGAGAGTATAATGCTGGGAACACTAAAGAAATCATTTTTTCTATATGTGAAATCAAAGGACACAACAATTCAGACAGAATAAGTGAATCAACTTCTGAAAATCTGTAGTCAATCTCCAAAATGGAAAGATAGTAGAGTTAGAGTTGAAGGCTCACCTAGAAACTAAATTGTGCCATCAAATGGTACTGAATCGAGTCCAACTCGATTACTATTCTGTATTTAGTTAGTTACTTCAATATTAATAGTACTAAATCGAGTCCAACTCGAGTACTTGACAAGAGAGTTGTCCGTTTCATAGGTTTACTCTGCCACACGACATGAATTAACACATATGATCCAATATTTTTTCCATCTAAAATTGCCAAAGCAGTTATCTCATTTAGAAAGCAGTCCAAACCCTTGCCATAACATGAAACATTGCACAAGCAACCAATCGGCAATCCCCACAAAAAAAAAAAAAAAGGTGAAATCTTTAAGTAAAAGCTTCAAGAGAAAAGCTCAAACATCTGAATAAAAGTGCCACCTTCTTACCAAATCCAACTTTTTCCATCCAAAATTGCGAAAACAGTAAAAGCAGCAGCCTAAACCCTCGGAAGAAGAATATAAGCATTGCTCAATCAACCGATTCCAAGACAGATAAATCATATAAAAGCAATGGTCTAAACCCTTATAAGAACAAGAAACACTGATCAATCAACCAATCCCCACCAAAAAGTTAAAATCTTTAAGCATTAGCTTGAAGAGAAAAGCTAATTACCACACCAATTAGACAGATAAATTGGAACTTGGGAACAAATAATTCATTCAGTAATTATGCACAAAACTGATAGAATCAGTACACTACCACCCATCTAGAGATACACGCACATATAAACCTCTACCTTCGTGAAAACCGAAAACGAAACAAAATATCTATATATAATCACACAAAAATAGAAAAGAAAATACTTTTACATTGAGGATATGCGAGATGCCTAGAGTGTTTACAGATGGGGCAGCAATATCACAGCTGCCCAAGTAGAGAAACTCCGGCAGCATCTCCGAGGGGAAGGCTCCGCCGAGTACGGAGGCCGACGGCGGATTATTTGTGACGTATTTTACACTCACTGTCTCCATAAATTGAAAATAGGAATTGTGACCCTTGGGCGAAGGGCTTTCTTCTTTTCCGCGAAAACATGGAAAAATATGATAAATGGATTAATATTGTTTAGGAGGATGAATACTGAATTAAATTTACTTGATGTGTTATAAATTGAGTATGAACTAATTCATACTCTTGGATTTGGGCTTTGTAGGGGATTTGCTCACCCGAACATAGACTTTGTAGGGGATTTGCCAACCCAACTCCTTTCGTTCGTGTTATATATATATTTAAAAAAAAAAATAAAAAAATTGAGTGAAACTAAATTTTGCTTGTATTTTAAATTAAAATAAAATAAAAAGTTATGCAATAAAATACAATTATTTTATTTTATAACCAATCTCAATGTGATTTACGTTTTTTATAAAGTATCTAGTTATTAGACATGGTCAAGGGCCGCCCAGCCTTTCGACTTGGCTGACTCGGCCTGGTCAAATCGCTCGGACCTGGACTCGGCCCGGTCAACCGGGCCATTGACCCGGCACGAGTATAGGTCCGTGTCGGGTCCGGGACTTGTTTTCAAGCTCGACGACCTAGCGTGCCGGGCCGTGTTGGGTTTTGGTCATATCTAAGTTAGCTCGTTTGAGTTATTACAAACACAACCACATTATAGATATTGGTACACAAAAGACTTTCGACTAACTGGAATTCGGCTTGCTCTGAGCTCCTCGCCGATTGAATTTCCTCGAGAACTCCAAAAAATTTTACACTGGTGGGATATTCATGTGAAGAGTCTCTCATGCTTAAGTTAACACAATGAAAAAAAAAAGATGTTTATGTTGTATGTATGTAGAGAATATAGAGAATGTAATGTCATAATGGACATACCACACTCCCTTATATATGATTATGATACCTTGTTGCCAAGACTGTCAGAGTGGACTGCCCGGACTGCCCTTTCGTAGTGCCTGAACAACCCGATTTGCCCGTACTGTACAATTCTATTAGGCCATGTGGCTCTATCCACGTGTGGTCCTTATCCCATTAATATTCTTTTAGGAATTTGTTACCAGCCTACCGAGCTTAAGTGTTGTCCTTTTGGTCGATCGACCAACCTTACATACATGTGGAGTCCAATAGGACATTCGAAGGCCCTAAGTGAACATATCGTTATCTTTTTGGACACTCACGTCTTCTTCGACTTTAAGACTCTTTGTTCTGTACTTACGCTTGCTTTCTATTCGACCTTCCTGCAACTCTGTTCAACCAATCGATCGGTCGACCTGATCGACCGGTTTATTAAGTTTGCTCTACATGGTGTCATATCATTATGAGATAAATTGTTATTGGAATAATTATATTAAAATGTATTTTTTTTTTTTTTTGAAAAATATCAATAAATAATGATGAATGTGGAATAATTATATTAAATTTTTAAAATTGGCTTCGAGTTGATACAAGTTGATACAATAGAGGAAATACATATATTTTATGGGGGTCAAATTGATAAGTGATAGTTATAGGGGGCAATCCATAAACCTAAAGAATAATTATGTTAAGATTTTATTTTAATTTATTTTTACTGCCCACAATTATACATAATACATCAATTTAATTACAGCAATCTATGAAAAAGAAAATAGGAAAAAAAAACTTTTAAATACTGCCCAATCTATATACTCAAAGACAGAATAAAAACAAATACCCAAATTTGTAAATCGACCCCCTTTCTTCTTAAAATCAACGTTTGCCGACGTAAAGTTTGCTCGACGCCGGTAAGTCTCCGGCCGGTCACGGCCGTCTCATCATTCTTTCTACTGATTATACGATTCTCTATATATATATGGCTCTATTTTCGGTCATCGCGTTTTCAGCTACAGGTGTTTGATTTCCCGCGATTCTATATATTTTTGTTTTTTAATTGAATTTCCTGTTGATACCAATCAGTCTTTGCCCCAATTGAAAACCCAGCATTAATTTGGTGAGAAATTATGCACTAATTCAATTTGCCCCAAATCGATGAAACCCTAGCCTGTTATATTTATAATTTATGTGTGTCGGTGTATTTTTCTAATTTTTTTTTATCTCAAAATTATTAACTCTTCTGATACTGGCATTTGATTTTAGCTTTGATCAATTTGCATGCTTGTGATGGCACTATATGTTCGTGTCTGTGCATGTGATCAGACTTCAGAGTACTGGAAAATTCAATCCTATTAATTTGATTAGCTCAATTTCATTGAGTGTTTAGTTGAGGCAGTGGATTTCAGCTACCCCATTACTCCCATTTTACTTCGTTAATTTTTCATAGGAATATTCGCTGGGTTAGATGCTCCTTGTTTGGCTTTGAGACGAGCACATACTATAATGCTGACTGAAGTGAAAAATTTTAGCTTTTTTGTTATGTTTTGATGATATTCATGCTATATAGTTCTGTTTCTAAGGGCTTAGGAGCCAGTTGCTATGTTCATTAAATTGGATTTGACTTTAGTTTATTTATTAATTGTTAAAGAGATTTCTTTTTGTTTGTTTGTTGTTTCCTT